ACCCCTATTTTGCCCTTAAAGGGACTGAGACATAAAGGTCGAGTAATGACCATGCTTACGTATTTAGTACTAGTTGGGATGGGGTCAGTATGTGATTCTAAAGTCTTTGGGATTTTTTTCATTTTTTTTCATTGAAATTAAGTTGATATGAAATATATTAGTTAAGCTGTACAACAGAATGATTCAATAATTATATACATTACAAAATGCTCACCACACTGAGTGAAGTTACTATCTGCTTAATTACTTGTAAGTTTGGAACTTAATTCTTTTTTAATATTAATGAGTTATAGAGAGCCCAGATACAAACCCAGACATGTATGGCCAATTAATATATGAGAAAGGAGTCATGGATATACAATGGGGAAATGACAGTTTCTTCAACTACTGGTGTTGGCAAAACTGGACAGCCACATGCAAGAGAATGAAACTGGATAATTGTCTAACCCCACACACAAAAGTAAATCAAAATGGATCAAAGACCTGAATGTAAGTCATAAAACCATAAAACTCTTAAAGGAAAACATAAGCAAAATCTCTTGAATGGAAACATGAGCAACATTTTCCTGAATGCATCTCCTTGGGTAAGGGAAACAAAAGCAGAAATGAACAAATGGGACTACATCAAACTAAAAAGCTTCTGTACAGTAAAGGACACCATCAGCAGAACAAAAAGGCATCCTACAGTATGGGGGAATGTATTCATAAATGACATATCCAATAAGGGATTAACATCCAAAATATATAAAGAACTCAGATGCCTCAACACCCAAAAAGCAAATAACCCAATTAAAAAATGGGCAGATGATCTGAACAGACAATTCTCCAAAGAACAATTTCATATGGCCAACAGGCACATGAAAAGATGCTCCACATCACTAATTATCAGGGAAATGCAAATTAAAACCATAATGAGATACCACCTCACACCAGTTAGGATGGCCAACATCCAAAAGACAAAGAACAACAAATGCTGGTGAGGATGCAGAGAAAGGGGAACCCTCCTACACTGTTGGTGGGGATTTTAATTAGTTCATCCATTGTGGAAAGCATTATGGAGGTTCCTCAAAAAACTGAAAATAGAAATACCAGTTGACCCAGGAATTCTACTCCTAGAAAGTTACCTGAAGAAAACAAGATCCCAGATTCGAAAAGACATGCATCCCTATCTTTATTGCAACACTATTTATAAGAGCCAAGATATGGAAGCAAGTTTCAAATGATAGCACTCATTTGTGGAGTATAACAACAGAGCAAAACTGAAGGAACAAAATAGTAGACTCAGACTCTAAAAAGGGACTAGTGGTTACCAAAGGGGAGGGGTGGGGGAAGGTGGGTATAAAGGAAGGAAGAAGGGGATTAAGGGGCATTATAATTAGCACATACAATATAGGTAGGTCATGGGGAAGGCAGTATAGCATGGAGAAGACAAATATGACCGCATCTTACTATGCTGATGGACAGTGACTGCAGTGCGGTGGGGAAAACTTGATAATATGGGTGAATGTTGAGACCATAATGTTGCTCATGTGAAACCTTCATAAGATGTATATCAATGATACCTTCGTTAAAAAAAAAATACTGCCAAACTACATAGATACTAACTTTATGTTACTGGCCTTTGGAACAATAGAATAGAATTGAAAGCTGTATTACTTAGGATTCTCTGAGTGGTGGTTTGGTAACCTGGAGAATCCTGACTAACAATAACAACTAAAAATAATAATGAGTTAATATATGTAAAGCTTTTAGAACAATATTTATATGCTAAATATTTATATAAAAGCACTCTATACATACTAATTATTATTTCCCCTCAGTCACTTATTTGGAGATGTTAACTTTCTTTTTGGCAGCAGGTGGATAGAAATATGAGGACTTCAAAGGCTTTACCACAGAAACCCTGCTGCGAGCTTCAGTCTATAATCAAGTAAATGAGATTGAATATAAGAGTATATATAAAAGAAATAGGCAGGATTGCTATCTGCTCCCTTCCCTCTCCTACGCATGCATGCTATTTCTTAACTAAATATTTTAATCTTCTAGAAAAAGCAGCTCCCTAAGGAAATAGATGATTTTATCCTTATACACTCACTCAACATTTTGCAATATAGAATTCCGTTTTAATTCAGTAATCCCAAACTACAGAGATATAAAACACATTGAAGTCATAGTTAATTTAGGATTGTCTTTCCTTAAAATCTTTAGCAACATGAAATCATTTGTATCTGCATAAAATGAGTTTTCAGTTTTAATTTAAATCGAGTTAAATCATCTTCTGTATCTTAAAATGATCTCAGAATTTAGCATGAGATTTCCATTTGCATAGTCCCGTTTACCAGTGTGAACCTCTCTCCCCTCAATCTCCTTCCCTACCCTCCCCCGCCCCACCCTTTCTTTCTCATGGACATCGGAGCAGCCCTCCGTGGTGCCCACACGGGCTCCAGGCTGATTAGCCCCACCCAAGACTCCGCGCTGCTGTGGGCCGCCCACTGGTTTTGAAACAGTGTTGGTCAGCATCTGGATGAAGTGCCATTATACCGAAGGACTATGTGAAAACCCAAACTTGAATTTTTGTTTGATTAGGCATTGTTCTGCCACAGGCTTAGTCGGGGTGGATGACTGGGTTAGACCGGACCCTCCTCTCAGGGCCCTTGGTTATGAGAGTGGCCCAACCTGGGTGGTCGACTCTTACCAAAGCTGTGGGTCGTCGCAGTTTACCTGCAGAATTTGGGTTCAACCGTGTAGGTCCCTATGTTCATAGGCAGAATAAAATATCCTCTTCCCTTGAGTAAGTGGATCCATTTCAACAGCAGCTGACTAACCCATGAATGCCACTGACAAATTTGTCCATCTTTACCTGTGGTGACCCTCCCAATGTTTCAGTAGATTAGCCTTGGTGTATAATGTTTTTTCTAGCTGCACCATACAGGGTGAAAATGAGGTAGATGTCTCCACAGCACACAGATATCTGCTAATGAGCCTTTTTTAGTGGGGGGAGGTGGAGGAAGGCAAGAGATTGATGTCCTGAATGGACTGAATATGTATCTCCTAATTGCCATCCTCTACCTTAAAGTTTATTTAGTCCTCTAGGGTCATACATCTTGAAAATTCACCATTGTATCAGTTTGGTAATGGATTTTTAAACTTCTTGTATGCTGCTGTTATGTAAGGTATTTGATTGTGCCTAAGCATGAAGACTAGGCTGGTCAGCAGGGCAATGCAGCTGTTGTGTATGGTGGCCTCTTAAAGATCTTCAGGCAAATGCATTTCCTTACACACCTACATTTCCCAAGTTTAAAAAGTGTCGCTATGAGGTTTTAAATAACTATAACTAACTGAGAAAATACATTGTATTCTGACCTGTCTATAAAATGGTAAGAGGTTTTTGTTTATTTATTCCCTCTTTACCTTAGGATAAATTACAGGATGAACAGACGTTCGGTGATATAATTGACTTCATTTAAAAGAGCTATGTTTTGATTAATAGATGAGAAATAATCATTTCTATAAATAATATATTGAATGAATTGTTTTACCCTAATTTAATCAGTCATATGAAGTCTACTCTTAAAGTGTATTGAAGCTTTTGTGCCCCTGTATACGCTCTGTTGTGTGAAGCCTCACTGTGCTTTCTCTCAGCCCGGCTGTCTGCCCTGTTGCTGTGGGAGTGGTCTCATCCTGATGAGTGGTCTCCCTGTGCTTCCCACTCCCGGGGTCCCTTTTGTGCAAGCATGTGCCTAAGGCTTGTGTTATGTTGGTGCTCACCGTCAGCTGCACCTTCCCTCTGGTCTCCACATCTGATCAGCCCCCAGATCTGTAGTTTCTCTGATATAGATCTCATTAGTATTTTTTTTCCTCTCTGGATCACATTCCCATTTCCCTGGTCTCATACTCTAACTGCATTTGCCCTATTATTGGGTTTCTCTGCCTTAGACTTGTCCCCTGCAGTTTTCTGCAATGTGGCCAAAATAAAAATTGATTAATGTACTTCCCTTCCAGCTGAGGACACAGTCCAGATCTCTTCCATGGGGTTCTAAGCATGGTCCCCTGTCTCCCCCATACCCTTCCCCACGGTGCCTTTCACATGACTGCAGCCTCTTTGCCCTGTGTCCTGGTCCAGGTTTCGGGGCCTCACAAAGTATTTGTGTGGACTAAGGCACCCTTCCTGCCTCTGTCTTACTGGTGAACACCTCTTAGTTCTTCAAAACGTGTCGAAGTTGACAGTCTTTCCCCGGCCTCACTGAATGAGCAAGGCCTCCCTCCTCTCCTTTGCCTCTATTCTCAATCATGTGCCTATTATGGCATGTAAGCGCTCTATGAGTATGTATTCACAGTATCTTTCCTTCTTAGATGTTGAACTTCTTGAGACCAGGGTGTTGTCAGTCATCTTCATGATTCCAGAGCTTAGTCTTATTAGCTGACACAAACGTGCTTAAATATTTGTTGAATTGGTTCAATTTTCTTATAAATGTTTGTTCCCTAGATTAGAGAATAACCTGCAGAGTATTGAAAGACTAGGTTTGGGTATCTCTGTAGTCTTTTACTGCCTGATTAGCTCACTTAAGAACACAGTATTCATGAAACCAAGTGTTAAGTTTCACTCCTCTGTGGAGCAGTTGACTTTGTACCTCAACTGCCGGTGACCTCAGCTAGCTGCTTAGTAAATACCACTAGTTCCAAGGGAAATGAAGAGAGAATGATTAAGGTTGAAGCAAATTCATCCCAACTATTAGACACATTAGATTATATGCCTTATTGATGCTAAAAGCATAGGTTCACACTTCAGTGTGACATGGACACCGTGCTTGTCCACTGCCCTGGTCCACATGCCCTGATGCGTCTGCTGTGAAATGTTCTGTGGCACAGTGGAGGCAGAGGGGCTGCCTGGCTCTGGGAGGTTTGCAGTGAGCACCATCGTCGTCCACCCACAGATCTTCTTGATTGCCAGCCTTTGGGCTGGCCGTCCACCCACATGACTGTCCGTCTTTGTCTTCCAGGTGAGACCATGCGTGTCGCCTCGTCCGAGTTTGCTGATGACCCGTGCTCGTCGGTGAAGCGTGGCACCATGGTGCGGGCGGCGAGGGCATTGCTATCGGCTGTAACACGCTTACTCATCCTGGCGGACATGGCAGATGTCATGAGACTTTTATCTCATCTGAAAATTGTACGTATGTTTGTGGGTAGAACTTACCAGAACTTACTTGTGCGGTGGGCAATATTGGCCATGCACATTACCGCACTGTCCTGGACAAAGGACACTTCACGTCTTACCAGATCACTCACCCACCCCAGGGGTATACCCGCCAACTTCCTAATACTAAAATTATGTTCAGTAATAATTAAAAAAGTTGTAGATGATGCATTTGAATTGTTTTCCTTCTCTTAAAATAGAGTTTGAATCCCTCACCCACCCACCCTTACTTCTCAAGAGTACAAAACAGTGCCTTCTTTCAGCTGCAGGCAAGGAGCTCTGACATCTGTCTTTCCCTGTCTTGAGTGCCCGTCAGTGTGGCGATTCAGGTGAGGCCAGCTCTCCTAGGTAGCTGGTCAAATAACCATCTGTGCCCACCTTAAACTAGATCATGTGTTCAAGTGTATTTGTTACCTGTGCCAGCCTTGCCTCCCGTGGGATCATGGTCTGTGAACCTGCTTCAGTCTGGTCATCAAAACAAGCCCCTCCCGCACCTCCAGTAGCAAGAGTCAATCTCGTTGCACCAAACCTGACATCAGACATAACCTGGAGCAGGTCCTGAGCATAGATGTGCTCCACCAAGTCATAGGTCCTCATTACATATGTCCTGTCATGGTTCCTTGATTCCTTTTAACTCTTTAGTTTCCTGTCTTGGTCACACATTTCACTGGCCCAGAGGCCAAGGCAGCCATCCAGCCCTTGACAGCTAGGTCTTCCTCCATTTTCCTCATTGCTCATTGGTGTCTCCTTGCAATCAGAATGGTTCAATTCTTTGAACTAAGATGATGTAACTCACTTGCTTAGGACCATAGCTTCTGGCTAGAGAGTATTCCATGCCTGCAGTGGATCTTGTTACTGGAATATTGGCAGCAAACCTGGTCTGAGCCAGGTCCCTAGATGGTGGGGTGTGACCATGGGCTTTCCTTTTTGGGAACCAACCTGTTGCTGGTAGTTTCTGTAGCTCTGTCTCTTCCTGACTTACACATTTCCGTCCAGGTCTTACTTTTTTTGTCAGTGCAGTGAACAATGAGGGGGCAGGTGAGCTAGGAACTGAATAATGAGAACCCACTCTCACCCCACCATCCCAGATTTGTTAGTACCGAGGTGGATTAAGAAATTTCCAAAACACAAGCATTCTCTCTCAGAAATCTTGGTAAGGGTCTTACCTAAGGCGGCCCCAGTCAAGGAGGCAAGATTTCCAAGTTAAGTATAAACTTTGCAATATTCTGAAAGGCCTCACATTCTAATACCTCCAGCCTGAGTTCCATGGTCATGAGCCACAGGGTGAGATATAGTTCTTCATGGCTTCTGTACGGGTGCCTGAGGACAGGGTACACAAAGCAGAGCCTGCCTGGCAGTTCTTCTCAGAGAATAGCTCCTCAAAGGCAGGAAGGGCCCTTGCAGACTGGATGAGGTGAGCATGATGAGGAGAGACTGTACCTATGTCAGAGGCTCCTGAGGGGCAGTAGAACGTTATGATCAACCCTTGGCCACCACAGTAAGATGAACTTGGATCCTGGTTTGATGTCTACTTGCCAGCCATGTCATAGCTCAGTATGGAACCTACTTTTGTCTCAATCAGACACTTCATCTGTTACTATGGGGCTAAAGACAGTACAGCCCTCAGGGTTGTGGAAAGGCTTGAATGGGGAAATTCCTGTGAAACATTGATCACAGTCTGGTGCAAATTAAGTGTTGGGTAAATGGCTGTGTAGCCGTTGTAAGGTCCCTGGAGCTTCTGGCAGAAGGCAATACGGGCTTGTCATTCCTCCAGCCGTGCCTGTGTTACATGCATCTTTTAGGCGACAATTACTTAGTTGTCAAGTGTGTTGGAGGAAAAATGTTGGTATCTTTCCCTTGCAACCTGCTAAGTATCATTTTAAGAAAGATCTTCCCCGGAAGGACAGGCTTCCTTTTTTCAGGGGAGAGCAGGAAGGACTGAGCCGGAAGAAGTTAACTCTGTGTCCCATGTGTCAGTGTTCCCTGCCACAGGAGGCTGTGTTCAGCTACTCCTGGAGTGGTGACTGGCTAGGTATTCGCCCTGAACTGCCCACATCAGGGTGCCCAGGAAATCTGGGACTGCGGTGTGATGCAGGGCCAGGGGCTGCCTGTAAGCCCACCTGTCTACCCACTTGTTTTGACTAGTGCTCTTGGCTGATAATATTGTTTAGCCTCTCTTAATGTTGAGTGAATTGTATTCTCTTCCTAACAGTGAATTAAAGTAAGTTAAAAAAAAATATATATATATAGCACAAAATCATGGAAAGGTCAACCCAGCAATATTAAGTAGTCCTGTCAGGTTGTCAGTAGTAAAATTGTAGACTAAACAGCACATTTGGTCTCCTTAGACAGCCTCTGAGTGAACAGTCGTGGTGGAATGTCTCCATCTTGTGGAATGAGGTAGGAACTACAGTTTCTGGAGCTACCAGGACTAGTCAGGTTGTGTAGCCCTTGTCATACTTTGGGTTCAGGTCAGTAAGGGTTTCATATCTTGGGGCTAGTCCCCCCCCCCACCTCTGAAAAAAACAATGTGTCAACAATCTGTTACACATGAGCATGGTGCATCATTCTACTTTGTACAATTTTTGTTGTTTTCCACAGAAGCACATCTTCCTATAAATGAGTGTTGTATCCAAGTATCTATTTATTAGTGTTTAATTTAGGATGAAAAAATAAATTTCCTTGGGTAAGCACCCTGTGGTGAGTCCTGTGGTTTCCTGCCATGTTAACCACCGCACAGCTATTTTACCCTTAAGCATTACACATGGTACTTTACTTCTTATTTTTTAGGCCATATGCCAAAAATTGTATTGCTTTTCTTTCTACATATTGATTTTTTTTGTCATTTCTGAGTAAGTTACAGGAACATAGAGAGCATTGTCTTCTTATCGGAAACTTGTATTTATGTTTTTCCATCAATAACTCACTGAGTAGATGAAGGATAGTCAATTTATTCTCTGAAAATATCCACCTCCATTCTCTGCCCTGCACCCTGATAGGTAACGGTTGACAAATTGCATAATCGTGGGTAAAGAGCATTCATCCTCTAAAAATGAATAAAGTTTTGGGAGCTCTCTGCAGGTTGTGTGATCTTGAAGTGTTTAGGTCTTTGTATGCTGCTGCCTTAAAATTGTATTTGGAAACTTAGGTTTCTATGACTACTGAAGAGTCCATCATTTCATATAACATATAGTTATTCTAGTTGCCCATGTTAAGCTACTTGTTCTCTCATGCAAGTATTTATGTGTACTTTGATGGTTGAACTCTTTTTGAAAATATGATATGAAGGATTCACATGACTTCAAAACGTTTTTGCTGTTGTAGTTGTTCCGAACCCAGGACGATTGTGATGGAATACTGGGTAACATATAGTTCAAAACAGAGTCATCGTCAAAGTGGGAGTTTGTTGTTCCTGAGAAAGCTAATTATTTACATATCAGACATCATTAAGAAGTACTGAATTATAATCACTTTTGTTATTGAAGTTGCTGGTGAGTGATTCCCTAACCAGACACCTGGTGTATCCTGCAATCAGTTGATATTGTCAGTATGTTAGTGTGATATGTGGCACTCAATACTTTTAAAGGAATCCTGCATTTCAATCAGTGATCACGAACAGGGCTATTTTATTTTCCCTAGACTCTGAATTAATGTAATCAAATTATATTGTCAATCCTTAGCATTGATAATGGCATTATACACATAAATTCATCTAGACATGTGTGTCAGAAAAAACAATCACCTTTCTTCAGTCTTCAGTCTAGGTTGTGCAGTAATGACGTCCTCTGTTATTTCAGAATTTCTCTCTAGACAGTGAAACTTTAAGATAGAAAGCAATAACTCCTTAGCTTCTCAGCAAAGTCACATTTTCTTAGTGGCAAGCAGGAGCCAAGTGTAACACTGCTTCCCTCTTGTTTGGGGACATTGATGAGACAGGGTGACTTTAATATCACGTGTGTTTTTCATGACATTAGCATCACATAGTTGTGTGTGCTTTGTAACTTATTATTTTGTCAATAGTCTTGGTTTAGTTCTCTTATTTTAAAGGTAGAAATCCCTGCCCAGGTTCTTAGCATAGCTTTTCTGTCAGAGCTATTATGACATTAACTTCATGCCAGTGGGTTGTTTGGAATTTATTTATTATTATCCTTTCTGATACATACAAGATGCTATGAATGAATAAAGTTTTGGGAGCCAAGATATGTAATGTCAAAGGTGAATAAGATGCAGCTCCTGCTTTTAAAGCATTGTAGGCAAATGGGGAAGACATTAAGAGCACAGTGCATGCTGGGAAAATTTTCCTAAAAGGAAAACATAATAATTTGGATGTTTTTCTGTTTTAAATAACAGAAACCCTGCTTAATCTGGTCTTTTAAAAAGGGAATATATTGGCTCACTAGATATATTTGCTCAACTAAAAGTTTAGAGGTACTTAGCTTCAGGCACAGCTTGATCAAGGCATACAGATGTGACAAGGACCAGATTTCTATTTCCTTTTCCTCAGAGATGGCTCTTTTTGTGGGCCCTTTTCTCATAGTCTCAAGATAGCTGGTAACCATTCTTAGTATTACATTATCCTAGACTAAAGAAAACAAGAAAGAGGAAATTCTCTTCCCTGATAGCTCAAATAAAAGTTCCACAATTCTGTCAGTCCTGTCAGCCTGTTTATCAGGTACATATCTCTGAGTTAATTATTTAGCGAGAACAGGATGTGCTGATTTCTTAATTTGGCCCACACTCTTCATCTCCCTTCTCACCCACAAGCCTGGGATGGCATCATTTCAACCAGAAAGTGTTGTTGTTCATTGAGGATAATATGAGGAAGGGTGATGTGGCTGGGAAAGGGAGGTCTCAGGATTGGGTCTCACTGAACTGAATGCAATGCACCTTTCCCTGCGCCGATTGCCTGGATTGGAGTGAAGAGGCTGGGGTCACAAGCTCAAGCCCAAAGCTGGGGACTAAGAGTTGAGTGT